CCATTCAGAACATAGGCATAGGCAAGGACTTCATGACTAAAACACCAAAAGCATTGCAACAAAAGCCAAAATAGACAAATGGGACCTAATTAAACTCCAGAGCTTCTGCACAACAAAAGAAACAATCATTAGAGTGAACCAGCAACCAACAGAATGGGAAAAAAATTTTGCAATCTACCCATCTGACAAAGGGCGAATATCCAGAATCTACAAAGAACTAAAACAGATTTACAAGAAAAAAACAAACAAACCCATCCAAAAGTGGGTGAAGGACATGAACAGACACTTCAAAAGAAGATATATATGAGGCCAACAAACATGAAAAAATGCTCATCGTCACTGCTCATTAGAGAAATGCAAATCAAAACCACATTGAGATATCATCTTACACCAGTTAGAATGGTGGTCATTAAAAAATCTGGAGACAACAGATGCTGGAGAGGATGTGGAAAAATAGGAACACTTTTACATTGTTAGTGGGAGTGTAAATTAGTTCAATCATTGTGGAAGACAGTGTGGTGATTCCTTAGGGACCTAGAAATAAAAATACTATTTGACCCAGCAATCTCATTACTGGATATATATTTAAAGGATTATAAATCATGCTATTATAAAGTCATATGCATATGTATGTTTATTGAAGCACTGTTTATAATAGCAAAGACCTCGAGCCAACCCAAATGCCCATGGATGATAGATTGGACAAGGAAAATGTGGCACATATATACCACGGAATACTTGCAGCCATAAAAAACAATGAGTTTTTGTCCTTTGTAGAGACATGGATGAATCTGGAAACCATCATTCTCAGCAAACTGACACAAGAACAGAAAATCAAACACTGCATGTTCTCACTCATAGGTGGGTGTTGAACAATGAGAACATATGGACACAGGGAGGGGAGCATCACAGGCTGGGGTCTGTTGTGGGGGAATAGGGTTGGGACAGCAAGGGGTAGGGAGGTTGGGAAGGGATAACATGGGGAGAAATCCCAGATACAGGTGAAGGGGGAATGGAAGTAGCAAACCCCATTGCCATGTATGTACCTATGCAACAATTCTGCATGTTCTGCACATGTACCCCAGTACCTAAAGTGCTATAAAATATATATAATTAATAAATAAATAAAACTATATACTTCCTACTCAATTTTTCTGAAAACCCAAAGTGAAATTAAGAAAACAATTTCATTTAGAACAGCATCAAAAATAATATTTAGGAATAATTTTTTTAAAAAAAGAGTGCAAGAATTATACACTGAAAGCTGCAAAAAATTAATAAAAAGAAATTTTAAAATACATTAGTAAATGGAAAGTCTTTCCAAGTCCATGGATTGAAAATTTTAATATTAAAGTGGTAATACTCCTAAATTGATCTCCAGATTTAACACAATTCCTATGAAAATCCCAGTTACCTTTTTGTATCAATTGACAGTCTCATCATAAAATTCATATGGAAATTCAGAGACCCAAAGTAGCCAAAACACAGGGACTACTAGACATGTTCAGGCATTATGCACCTCCACCTTTCAGCTCCTAGAACAGCAGAATGGTCTCCAGAATCACTCTGACACTGTAGATGGCATGTTCAGGATACCCACCAGGTTTATTCAGTATAGCCCTATTATCTTGCAGAGGAGCCAAGGAATCATCCTCATCTCACAGTGGGTCATTGCCTCTACTTCCCTGGACCACTGGGATGCCAACTGTAGAATCATGAGGTTCCCACCAGACCTTACCCATACAGGGGTAGCCAATGATCATGAGGAAGACTTTGATTTACAGAAAGAACCAATTGGGCAGGTGATGAACCAGCTTAGACAGGAACTTGTCAGCCAGTTGCTCCACACATGCTGCTTTTGTCTCCTCCCCAACATATCCTGCCAGATGAGGCTAAAGTGCTCTAGGAGGTCATGCAGGTGGACAGTCCAGTTTTTTTTTTTTTTTTTTTTTTTTGTCAGTGGTTAGAGAATTCCTTGAAAGGATTGCCAAAGGAGGCAACCATGGGAGCCCATCACAGTGACACACAAACAACTTACAGACTTCCACAAGCAAGTCACTAGTGCTGAGGAATGTAAGCAATTTTGCTGGGCTTTACAAGACTTCACCAGATTGTTTCAACAACTCACACTCCTGCACTGTTCCTGTCATCCAGGGATGTCTTTTAAATTAGAAGACACGGAGAAAGCAAAAACCAGACTGTGTCCCTCAATCAGAAACCTCCAGTGTGGCAGAGAGGACTTCACCACCAGCAGGGGGTCCGGCCAGACACCGAGAGACTCCAGCCTTCTGAGGTCATCCTGTGGAGATCCTGTTTGGCGGTATGAGGGAAAATCAGAGAAATTTAAAAAACGATATCTGCAGCCTGCTCAGTGTGGTGGGTGGGGAGCTGGTTTCCTGGTGAACTTGTTTCTAAAAGAAAAAATAATTTGAAAAAAAAAATTTTTTTAAAGGGCCAGGTGTGGAGGCTCATACCTGCAATCTCAGTGATTTGGGAGGACAAGGCAGGTGGATCACTTGAGGTCAGGAGTTCAAGACCAACCTTGCCAACATGGTGAAGCCCTATCTCTACTAAAAACATTCCTTGAAAGGATTGCCAAAGGAGGAAATTTTGTTTTTAAACAAAAATTAGCCAGGCATAGTGGCATGCACCTGTGATCCCAGCTACTCAGGAGGCTGAGGCAGGAAAATAGCTTGAACCTGGGAAGTGAAGGTTACAGTAAGCTGAGATTGCACCACTGCAATCCAGCCAGTGTGACAAGAGTGCAATTCTGTCTCAAAAAAAATAAGAATAAAAATAAATTAAATGTAAAAGCCAGCCTCCAACAGAATGAACCATTTCCAAGTAATATATCCACATGCCAGAAAAACGTCCAACTTTATCTAAAGGAATACAAAAAAAAAAAAAAACCATCTCTACTAAAAATACAAAAAATTAGCTGGGCATGGTGGTGTGTGCCTGTAATCCCAGCTACTCAGGAGGCTGAGGCAGGAGAATTGCCTGAACCCAGGAGGCGGAGGTTATGGTGAGCCGAGATCGCGCCATTGCGATCTTGTTACCAACCTGGGTAACAAGAGTGAAAATCCGTCTCAAAAAAAAAAAAAAAAAATTACAGCACCCAAAAATATAAAATGCACAACATGCAACATCCAATCAAAATTTACCAAACAAAAGAGCAGGAAAAGATTATACATAAATTATAGAATAATCAATAAACAGAAATAGACTTAGAGATTACACAGACAGTAGAATTATCAGGAAAAGATGTTATGACTGATACATACATATATAAAATATTATGTATACATTATAGGTATCTGTATATATATATTCTAAAATATATGTTTTTAAACATATATGTTCTAAAAAGTCTTAGAAACTATTAATATAAAAAGTAATGCAAAATATTTTTTAAAAACCCAATGGCACTTATAGAACTGGAAAATATCATCTCTGAAGGGAAAAATACACTGGAAGAAATTATCTGCTGATTAAACATAGAAGAAGTATAAATCAATGAACTCGAAAATATAGAACTAGAAATGTCAAAGACAAAAAATAAAGAGCAAAAAATAATAAATAAAAGACTGGAAGAATAGGAAAATGAAGAGAGTATCAGTGAGCGATTGCATGACAACACCTTTCAAACTTACAAGTAATTTAGGGTTCCAAAATAAGAGACCAGAGAAGAGACAAAAAATATATATATAATTTTCCAAATTTTCCAAATCTATAAACCCATAAATCTAAGAATTTCAACAAACCCCAAGCAGAATAAACAAAAAGGAAACTACACCAAGACTTTTATGCTCAATTTGCTGAACATCAGTGACAAATAGAAAACTTAAGAGCAATCAGAGGAAAAAAAAAAGCATTATTTTCAAGAAAAAAATTATACCAAAGAAAAAAATGCAATAAGAAATTGAAAATGTTTTAAAGCCAAGGAAAATAAAAACATAATTTAAAATTTTGTTATATGCAGCCTAAGAAGAGCTTAGAGAGAAACTGAGAGCTTTAAAATGATTATATTAGAAAAAGGGGTTCTCCAGAAAATCAAACACAGCATGTTCTCACTCATAGGTGGGTGATGAACAATGAGAACGCATGGACACAGGGAGGGGAGCATCACACACTGGGGTCTGCTGGTGGGGGCCAAGGGAGGGACAGCAGGGAGGGGTATCAGGGAGGGATAAAATGGGGAGAAATGCCAGATGTAGGTGACAGAGGGTTGTAGGCAGCAAACCACATTGCCATGTGTGTACCTACGCAACAATCCTGCATGATCTGCACATGTACCCCAGAACCTAAAGTACAATTTAAAAAAAGGGGGGGTGTTCTCATACTAATAATCTAAACTGATTATCAAAATTAATTCATCTTTAGAAATTTTAAAGAGAGAATTAAATCTAAAATAATTGAAGGAAGAAAATGATAAAAGGTAAGAGGAGAAAACAAAAACAGAAAAGATAATAATATAAAAATATAATATACCAAAATCAATTTCTTCAAAAAAATTACTAAATTTTCTAAATCTCTAGCCAGATTTATTATATTTCCAGGTTAAAATAGAAGAAACATAAATGATCAATATCAGAAAAAACACTAAATGTTCTACATACATTAAAGCAACAATAAATGATCATTATGAACAATTTTAGACCAAACACTGAATAATTCAGATTAAATGAAAAATACAAAGCACCAAAATGTACTCAAGAAGAAATAGATAATAGGAATAACCCTATTTTTGAGAAAGAGTTAAAAGATTGTATGTAGTAAATAAAATAGAATATCTTTTTTTTTTTAAGTTCTGGGGTAGATGTGCAGATCTGGCAGGATCGTTACATAGGTATACACATGCCATAGTGGTTTTCTGCCTCCCTCTCCCCATCACCTACATTAGATATTTATCCTAATGTTTTTCCTCCCCGATCTCCCCACTTTCTGCTATCCCTCCCCTAGCCCCCCACGCAGACCCCAGTGTGTGACGTTCCCCTCCCTGTGTCCATGTGATCTCATTGTTCAACACCCACTTGTGAGTGAGAACATGCAGTGTTTGGTTTTCTGTTCTTGTGTCAGTTTGCTGAGAATGATGCTTTCCAGCTTCATACATGTCCCTGCAAAGGACATGAACTCATCCTTTTTTATGGCTGCATAATGTTCCATGGCATATATGTGCCACGTTTTCCTTATCCAGTCTATCTTTGATGGGCATTTGGGTTGGTTCCAGGTCTTTGCTATTGTAAACAGTACTGTAATGAATATATGTGTGCATGTGCCTTTATAATAGAATGTTTTATAATCCTTTGGGTATATACCCAGTAATGGGATTGCTGGGTCAAATGGTATTTCTATTTCTAGATCCTTTACTAATTGCCACACTGCCTTCTAAAATAGTTGAACTAATTTACACTCCCATCAACAGTGTAAAAGTGTTCCTACTTCTCCACATCCTCTCCAGCATCTGTTGTCTCCAGATTTTTTAATGATCACAATTCTAACTGACATGATATGGTATCTCAGTGTGGTTTTGATTTGCATTTCTCTAATGACCAGTGATGATGAGGTTTTTTTCATATGTCTGTTGGCTGCATAAATGTCTTCTTGTAAAAAGTGTCTGTTCATATCTTTCACCCACTTTTTAATGGGTTTGTTTTTTTCTTGTATATTTGTTTCAGTTCTTTGTAGATTCTGGATATTAGCCATTTGTCAGATGGGTAGCTTGCAAAAATTTTTTCCCATTGTGTTTGTTGCTGGTTCACTCTAATGATTGCTTCTTTTGCTGTGCAGAAGCTCTTAATTAGATCCCGTTTGTCTATTTTGGCTTTTGTTGCCATTGCTTTTGGTGTTTTAGTTATTAAGTCCTTGCCTATGCCTATGCCCTGAATGGTATTGTCTAGGTTTTCTTCTAGGGTTTTTATGGTGTTAAGTCTTATGTTTAAATCTTTAATCCATCTGGAGTTAATTTGTGTATAAGGTGTAAGGAAGGGATCCAGTTTCAGCTTTCTGCATATGGCTAGCCAGTTTTTCCAACACCATTTATTAAATAGGGAATCCTTTCCCCATTGCTTGTTTTTGTCAGGTTTGTCAAAGGTCAGATGATTGTGCATGTGTGGCATTAATTCCAAAGCCTCTGTTTTGTTCCAGTAAATAGAATCTCTTAATCTTATCTCATGTATTTTAATTTTAGGACCCAAATCAATTAACTAGCACTAATTCTGAATATTGATAACAAGGGTTTATGTGAACTGAAATGGAAGCAATCATGGACACTGAAATTCAGGCTTAGACAACCACATCTATGTAATTGTAGACTTGTAAATCCCCAAATAGCAAACATTTAGCATGTTTCAAGGGTTCGCGAATTCTCTTTAACATTCCTATTCCCTATGCTCTCAAGCAAAGTTCAGGTCAGGCTGTAAGCCAAAGCCAATCCCGACAGTATCATATTAATATGATTTCAAGAAATTTGCCTATATATCTGAGTCCTTTAATATGGAGTCTAAGAGAACTTCTAGAGAAGAGATTTAAAATGCAAATAGCCCTAGAGGTAGTATATACATTAATGCATTTTCAATAAGATTTAAATGACTAATTTGAAATACCAGTTTTTAAACAAACTTTTTTAGGAAGGGTGAGATGTAAATGTCTAAAGAAGCAAAAGGACAGCAAGGAAAGGAGAAATTAGTATATACATGGGGAGTTGATGCAGAAACAAATTTCATTTACTTCAGTTTGACAAAGGTTAATGTTACCATTGTGTAGGTGTCTGGCAAACTGCTCTAACACCATTATCTTTCCTAGGCCCCAGGAATTAATTTAGGGGACTATTAGGTGACTCTTCAGGATAACACTTCACACATTCCTCCTCCACTTTTACAACTCAATAATGTAGAATCCCACTTCCAGTGTTGGCCATGTTATCACTGAAATGAAGACATTTCATTCTTATTTCAAAATCTAGGTTTTTAAAAATTCTTTTTCAATTTTAATGAAAATTGATACATCAAATTCACAATAACATTTTTGGTATGTTACTAACTGTACCCCTATCATGTCAGTGAGATAATTACTCTGTGATTTTCCCACCCCAGACCCCATTAATAAATGTGCATGTCACTTCTCTTTAAAAATGAAATAAAATAACCCTTTTGCTTCTTTTTTCAGAATAAGGCACATGATAATGTTTTAAAATTAACTGTTTATTAAATTTAAAAGGTTTTATGTCTTATTTTTCTTAGAAACAACAAGACATCTATTTTCACTATCACAATATATTTGCCTCTAAAAACACAGGTATTTAATTAATAATAATAGTCCCCTGGATTACTTTTGGCAGTTTATGCAGAGTCAAAGACATATCTGATATATTTGAAATTTACAACAATGTACACAGAATGCTCCTAAAATGGTTAAAACTATTTAATTACATGTACTGTAAATCTCCCTTAAGTAATTCACTATCTGTATCATTTATAAAGACAGACTTTGCTTATTCTCCTTTTATAGGAGACTAATAGAAGGCCATTATCCTTTTGGAGTGAAGAGATTTACGGACATATCTTCCATTAGCATTAATAGGTGTCCATGTAAATCACTAGGCACAAATAGTGGAAGAGACCTCCTCCATCTATTGGGTAATTGGCTGTTTTAGTTAAAAGATCATTTTAGGACAAGGGGAAAAAGTAACATTCTTAATATAATTATCTGAGTTTAAGACTACATTAAAATGACATGGTAAGAAAAAAAAAATGGGTGACCTGACACTTCATTTGACTTTTATTTTCCCTGCTTCCTGAGTTAATCCTAAACACGACAATAAGAAAGCAAGCATAGTCCAGGCGTGTTGGCTCAAGCCTGTAATCCCAGCACTTTGGGAGGCCAAGGCAGGTGGATCACGAAGTCAAGAGATCGAGACCATCCTGGTCAACTTGGTGAAACCCCGTCTCTACTAAAAATACAAAAAATTAGCTGGGCATGGTAGCGCGTGCTTGTAATCCCAGCTACTCAGGAGGCTGAGGCAGGAGAAGTGCCTGAACCCGGGAGGCAGAGGTTGCGGTGAGCCTAGATCACGCCATCGCACTCCAGCCTGGGTAACAAGCGAAACTCTGTCTCAAAAAAAAAAAAAAAAAAAAAAAAGAAAGAAAGAAAGAAAGAAAGCATAAAGTGAATAAGAGTGACGCTGACGCTTTTTAAAAGACAGAAAAGTGCATTACATATCTAAGCACATTGACATAGATCATTAAATTAATGGAATTGAGTCACCATAAAAGCATATTGTTTCCTTCATTTGGCAAATGTTTGCTCCACTTGTACCTTAGACTAACATAGGATTTGCTTAACATTTTAATTATATTAAGTAGTACAATGTCTTCCAAATGTTGTATTACTCTGCATATATATTTTTTTAATTCTGTATTGCTGTTCATGTATATGGGCTTCTGAGGGTCCCTGGCACAATTTTATGCACCTCTAAATATCATGTGCAGATGGTTACATTTTAGTTTTTCATTCCACACATAGAAGTTTCATGTGCTTAATGTAAAGCCAGGCTTAGTATGTTCTCTTGTGTGACAAGTAGTTGTATATAAAGAAATTCACCGGATACACTTTAAAACAAAACAGAAGTGCTTAACTTCTCAGAAATAGGGTATCAGAAATCCAGGAGTCTTTCCATATTTTGCACATGATTTTGTGAAACTCAGGTTCACTACTGGTAAAGTAAGTTGTATCTCCATGGTTTAGACAGACAAATACCACATAATCGCCGCTCAAATAAATAAAATGCATGCCTGTGTAATATACATTTGCAAATCTGTCTTAGAAATGTTCTGCCACAGATCAGATGCTTTGTTATTGAGAAATCAAAGTTATTTAAATAGAGGTTGAAAATGTGGCAAAAGCTAATTTTTGCAGTACAAAACTAATTGCGTGTTTTATTTTCATTTAACAGATTAAATATAGTTCCACCCTTTGATTTCTTTTCTGTTTCTTACAAATGTGACAGTGTCAGAGTACATGCAGGGATTCCATTTAATTATTAAAAAAAAAAAACACAGTCACAGAGAAAAAAAGGAACAACAATAAAAACAAAACAATTTATAGGGTTCTAGTTACTAGCATTTAACAAAAGGCATTTGAGGGACTTTTTAGGAAGTTCTTTTATGGTTCTCACACTGGATGCTACATATTTCTTGATTTTTATCCTGTGTTTACTGTAAAATCAAACATATAAAAGGGAGCCTATGAAGAAAGAAATCAGAAGAGAAATGGATGACTGCCTCTTTGTGACATATTTTCTCCCTCAGCCTTGCATATTTGCATTAAAGGGATTGTGAATAATGTACATTTGACCAGTGCTGTCTGCAGAACTAATGCCTATAAAAGGGATGGGAAGTAGCATATGTTGTGCCTAGGGCAGAGAAAGTCCAATCACCCCCACTGTGAGAGTCTCCAACTAAAACACAGGACAGCCTGGGATTTAGCCTAAATGAACCCAGCAGGGAGAAACAGGACACAGTCCCTCGGTCCACATTTAAGCTTCTGAACTAAGATTTTTAGAGTTTGCTTGGAAAAGAACTGATAATCTCTGTAATATCCATTGCACAAGCATTGAAATTTTTTTCTTTGTCTTAACTACCTATTCTGCAAGTTTTCAAGGAAAAGCATTACGGCAAGAAATTAAAACACAAGAAATCAGTTGTTACAGAATCAAGATGTACACTGTTCATTGCCATTTTAGCAACTCTCTCCTCTGCTTGAGCTATTCCCTGGCATTATCTGTCAAGGCACAGTTTTGTCAGTAATTGCAAATGTTTTGGGCTTGTAGTTTCACTTTTATGTTCTTGAACTCTACTAGAAATGCTCTGCTATTAAATACTTTGCATAGGTTCTCATTCCCATTACATAATCTTCCTGTGACCTCTAGCACCAGGTTCAGATTCAAACTAGCTTTTTTTCTACCTATATTAACTTGGTACTTGAAAAATTGCAATTATAAAAATGTATGAGAATAACAAAATCGGCTGAACTAGGGAAATAAAAGTTGCCAAATTGCTGTGTTTGGATCAGTGGGATTGTCTTTTGCCTCATTAGCTGCAGTATTAAAGGGGAAAAAAACAAGAGTAGGGCTAGAAAATATGTATTCATTTTGGTATTTATGTAATCCAAAGGGGGCGGGCAGTAAATATAAAATAAAATTGAAAAACTTGTTAAGTTGTATCACAGCATGATATAAAAGAGTCTGTGCAATGCTGAAAATAATACAGAGTTGATAGGATACAACCTATCTTTTCTGCTACTATCTTAGTGTTTAATTCCTATTCAAATTACTGTAAAGATGCTGTATTGTTTCAGAATGAAAGAGAGCTCCAAACCATTGATTTTAGTTTATTGGCCTATTCCTTAGATGGGGTAGGAGGGTGGAAAGGATTGCCCTGGTTTTAATACTTCAAAGGACTTCATTCTTTGAATGATTAGCTATTACAGAGGGTTACACACTGTCATGAAAATTAAGTTTTGGGTGTTTAATTTTATTTCTTTGGGATCATAGCCTGGGTTCTATAGATCAAAGACCTTGCCCCTACCATACTCCCCAGCACCCTCCCTCAACTTCACCTTTCTGATGTACCAGAGCCCATGACGATTTGCTTTGGCAAACTAGTCGTCCTTCATTTTTTTCCCCCATAATTTCAGTCTTTCTGTCATCACTCAACAAGGCCTTCATAGTGTGTAATCACTGTAGTTTCTGAGATTAACCAAACCCACCTTGATGAAATTTCATTTGAGGCCATAATTCAGGGTCTGAGATTTAAAAGATGTCAATCCCCTGTTAGGATTATAGAGCAGCTTCTATCTGCTCTGTAGTATTAAAAGCACTTATAAATCTTGGAAAAAGGAGTTATGGAGTGGGAGCCTTCAAAACATGCTACCAGAAAAAGTAACATAAAAATTGCTTAACATTAGTTTATCAGATGCTCAAAAATACTAGTTATTTTATTAATTAATTGAAGCAGATAATTCATTTTATACATCATCATGTCAGTATTTTCTATCTTAATCTTATCTTTTGGGCTATAATTAAACTACAGACTAAGAGAAGGATGTGTCTGTCATTCATTCATTCATTACTTCAGCAAATATTTAGCAGGCACCAGATGAAATTAGGGGCCACTGAACTTAAAGCCTTCTGCTGGAGACAGACAAGTAAACTAGCAATTTACAAGGCATTGTGATTATGCTATGATAAACTGAGATTCTATAGGAGTGCGAAGTAGAGAATGCAAATATATATATTTGTCTTAGAAGAGCTTTTAAACTTGCTACCAAATATGCAAATTGCTTTATTGTCCAGTTTACATGAAGGATGCCCTTATTGTTGTTTTACCAACAATAATATATTATGGTTTCTTCCTTTCTTATTCACTGAGGGTTAATATTGCAAGTAAATTGGGAGTTGGTGAGAGCTGGATCACTCTGGAGGAACTTCCTGTCAGACATTTTTCCTGTTATGTTTAATTTTACAGGCTTTGGTCATCTCACATATTGCTGCTGGAGCTGAGAGAAGTTTGTGTTGTGATGTATTACATTTGTCATCATGTGCCCCCAAAGCCCGTCCTCTTCTTACATTACTTTATTGCAGCATAAGTTCTAAAACCCATGAATCTTGCTGTCTTCCAATAGCCCCCTCTGCACGGTGACCTGTGCAGAATTAGAGCTAATAATTCAAACCAAAAAGAATAAAAAGCATAAAGCAACTGGCTTGCTTCCAGATTTCACCATGACATTTTTAAAGCCCAAATCAAATATTTTAAGCAATGCCCTTTCTGAGGCAGAATTTTAAGCAGCGCCCTTTCTGAGGTTGTGTATGGCTCTATCAGGAGACCTGGGTTCTAGTTTTGCTTCTGCTACATATAGAAGGCAAGTCATGAGTTTCCTCATCTTTAATTGGAAGAGGCAGAGACTACAACAAGATCCCTAACATCAGTGTCAACTCCAATATTCTCAAAATGAATTTTAAAATAAACTAGATACACTTTTTATTATTGTAATGTTCAAAACTTTAACCTACCCAGTCTTTAAACAACATTTTTAGATAAGATTTCCTAGGTCATTCTAATAATATGCAAGTGGCCAAGAAATGGCATACTCTCCACTATTCTGAAATAAAAATTCTGAAGCCCAGAGAAATTTAGTGATTTTTCCAAGAATATGCAGTGACTTACCAGAAGAATATGGAACCCAATTCCTATCTTTTCAACATTTACATTAAAAAAACACCAACTCTTCCATAGGAAAAATATATGTTTTAATAATTTTATCTGATTTAGTTAATAATCTGACCCCAGTATGAGTTGGTAAAACATAAAATATATTTGGCTTTCTGACAGATAAAGTAGTTTAAATACTGAAAATTCATACTTAAAGGAATCAGGTGTTCATTGGAGCACCAAATGGGCAAAAGAGAAAGCACAGATTGATGCTGCAATGTCTATATTTGATAGTGATAGTCACCACTGGCAGGCAGGAAATCTAGGCCAGAAGTATCTCAATATTAACATCCTTTTCTTTCTCTCTGAATGCTAAATATCCTGACATCACCGTTTGATCTGTATACTTGGAAATCTTCCTGGACCACTTAGCAAAGTACCTCCTAAAAGTAAACATGTGTACTCTCTCTTTGTTTTTTTTTCCAAGACAGAGTTTCACTCTTGTAGCCCAGGCTGGAGTGCAGCACAGTGCGATCTTGGCTCACTGCAACCTCCACCTCCTGGGGTAAAGCAATTCTCCTGCCTCAGCCTCCTGAGTAGCTGGGATTACAGGCTCGCACCACCATGCCCAGATAATTTTTGTATTTTTTTCTTTTTGTTTTAGTAGAGACGAGGTTTCATCATGTTGGTCAGGCTGGTCTCGAACTTCTGACCTTGTGATCTGCCCTCCATTAGCCTCCCAAAGTGCTCAGATTACAGGCTTAAGCCACTACGTCTGTCCAAACATATGTACTCTTTTTTCTTTTTTTTTTTTTGGTAAACGTCTTTATATTTTGTTATACAACCAAATATCTTAAAACTATCTTAGTACATTAACGTCTTAACAGGTCAACTTCTAGTCTTTAAGAGCATTTTTCAAAAGATTTTACTCCACATTAACAAATGTAGTTAACATATTGTAGACATTTTAATATTGCTGCTTATTCTTTCTAATCTTATTTGGCATAGTATCATTATGTTCAGTTATTTTACAGTAACTCAAAGTGAACAGAACCCCCCTTCCTTCCCCCACCCTCAATTAAAAATAGAAAAATAGAAATAAAAAGAACAACAACAATAACAACAACAAAAGATTAGGTTCTAGGAGGAGGGAAAGCCTAATCCAGGTGTCAGGATGCAGAAGTCAGCTTTTTGCAACCATTCTCAATGCTACAGAATACATTTTCAGACTACAGCTAAGAATTTTCTAAAACCTTTCAAGAAGCTCCAGTAGATTTCTGGATTTGCTCCTTTAAAATCAAGATACTCTGCCTTTGCTCAGGGGGCAGCATGGCAATCTGATCTGCAGTCAGTTGAAGAACCTGCATGATCAAAGTTGCCTTTTCTGATCCTGTAGAGTGACCTGGCTCTGCCCAGGACTAAAACTGCTAGGCTGGCTTTCACCTTGCTTGCCCCTTGTATGCCTGCTCCTTGTATTCCCACTCCTTGTATGCCTGCCCCCTGCATCCTTCCTCCTTGTGTGCCTGCTCCCTGCCTGACTGCTCCTTGTATGCCTGTACCCTGCATACCAGCTCCAGGATTTGCCACCCCTGAAATGCCTGGGACCTGTCTGGATCCCTGAGGGCCACCTGCCCCTATATTAATGGGACCAGGACCCTGAATTCCACCAATAATAGGGCCTCTTGAACTGGGGACAAGGCCCCTCATCTCCAGTCCTCTTGCATCCATGCCTCTTGCTTCCATCCCTCTGGTTTCCATCACACAGGTCTCCATTCCTCTCCTCTCCATCACATGTGTCTCTAAGACCTCAGTTTCCATGGCGTGAGTCTCCATCGCTCGAGAGTCTCTATTACCTCTGCCATCCATGGGTAGACCCCTTTGATCTATCATGGGGCCTCTGGGCTCTCCAATTAGCAGTCTGGGATCTCCTAATGGCGCTCCCCTCATCTCATGTGAGGAAGGGCGGAAGTGTGTCATGACCAGAAACATGATGCATGGGGGGACCCTGATGGGGTGGGCCCAGATAACTTCTGGGCTCCACTTCTCCCGTGACTGAAAGCAAAGTCCCTCCCCGTGGGTCATTTGGAGCATCTCCTAACAGTCCTCGAGGAGGAAGGCCAGCAGGAGTCATGGGTCCACGAGGATTTGACATCTGTACTTGTCCTCGCTCTAAAGGCACTAAGCCAACCCCTGGCATTCCAACTTGGGGCTGCATTGCTCCTCCAGGAGTTAAGGAACCAGGACCAGGTCCAGGAACTGCAGCTGGTATGGGCCCTGGAGCTGGAATTCCACCCTGGATAGGAGTCTGCATTAGAGGAGGAATGTCCTTCACAGGTCTTCTAGCCAAATGCTGAGGCTGTGCGGCTGGAGGATTCTGCTGGTTTAGCAGAACATTAGGACCTGGGCAGAGCCCAGGGCCAGGGCCAGGACCAGGGCCAGAGACAGAGACAGACACAGACTGAGATTTGCCCAGGATCAATGGTGTGACATGTATCTTCCGATGCAGAATTTTCAGAGCAATCTCTGGATCCATGATTCTCATCACTACTTGTGCCTGCCACAGGGCATAAGCCAGTTGCGGATTTTGAAGTAACATGTTTAGAGCCTCCTGGTAGCTATTTTGGACACAGAGCTTCATCTGCTTCATGAGCTCAAACATTTGCTCTGGGGGGAGACTGGCTACTGCTCTGGTAATCGATTCAGGGGCATCTTCTGGATCGATGGGATCCCCATAGGGTGAGTCAATAATGGGCGCTGCAGGACCGAGGCTCTTTAACTCCTCCTTATTCTTTTCACTGGCAGCATTGTCCACCCGAAGCACTCTCCCACTGAACTCCCGCCCATTGAGGTTCCACATGGCACTAAGCGCGGTCTCCTGGTCTTGGTATTCGCAGAAGCCATAGCCCTCGGGTTTTCCCGTCTCTCTATCGTATACTAGCCTGAAACTGACAACAGAACCAACCTCCAAGAAAATGTCCTTTAACTGCTCCTCAGTTGCCTCATACGGAATGTTCCCCAAGAACACTGAACGCAGTGATCGATCCATTGCCGGGTCTCTCACTGCCAAACTCGACACGATTCTGGTTGTGCGCACAGCCGATAGCGGATTCTTCCACATATGTACTCTTGTTGTGGAGTGTCTCTAGCCCTCAATGGAACACTGAAAAAAAGTCAGACTATTTTAAATGATACGACATGATGACCACAAAATACAGGAGCCTGAATTCCAAAGAGGTAAAACAGATAATTAAGCCCAGACAATGTCCATGTCCTTTGCCCCCATCTTGTCTATCTTCTACACATTTTCATTTATTTATTTATTTATGAGACGGAGTTTTGCTCTTGTTACCCAGGCTGGAGTGCAATGGTGTGATCTCGGCTCACCGCAACCTCTGCCTCCTGGGTTCAGGCAATTCTCCTGCCTCAGCCTCCTAAGTAGCTGGGATTACAGGCAGCGCCACCATGCCCAGCTGATTTTTTGTATTTTTAGTAGAGACGGGGTTTCACCATGTTGACCAGGATGGTCTCAATCTCTTGACCTAGTGATTCACCTGTCTCGGCCTCCCAAAGTGCTGGGATTACAGGCGTGAGCCACCGCGCCCGGGCCCTACATATTTTCTAAAATGTACAAAATCTAAATCTGCCCAAGGAACAGATTCTGGATAAATGCTATCCCTAGACTGTGCATTGGAGAAAAGGGTTGGAAATAATATATTTCTTAATATCTTGCCCAGGTATCTAGGTATCAACTCAGTCCTTTCAGTCATTTCTTCACTGATTTGGAATTCAGTCATCTAGAAAATGTAACTGCTTATCATGCATAAATTCGAGTTTTATAAAACATAATTTTCAGTGGAAATTATCATGTCAACAATGTCATTGTAACCCATTTGGTAAATAGTTGAAAATTCAGAGACTATTTTTTGTGATTCAATGTTGTCCAATGCTTTTCCTCTTGCCAAATCCCTACCTCCTAATCCATATTCAGTAAAATTAAATATTGGTACTGGTCACTGTGATGCTTATCTGCAAGTAGATGGGTTATAAACTCACTCAAAAGAATAAATTATCTCTGTCTCAATTTTTTTATTAGGCAAACAAAACAATAAGACATACAGATAATCAAATATTTTAATTATTTTATGTTAAGAGCATACAGGGTCTTCATTTGAAGTCTGATTCTATCTTACTTTCAACTCTAAGAACAGAAAACAAATGAAATTTTGAGATTAGTTTGCATGAAGGAGTTTTTTTTAAGGAACAGAAAATTTTATGTAATTATTTGACAAATATTATATAGAGCTCACTCTTTGTCAGATGATATTCTAGGTGCTTTATGAAATTTAACTTATTCAATACTCATAACAGTCCCATGTGTTTCTATGATTATCCCCATCCTACAAAGAAGGAGACTGAGAAACAGAGGTAAAGTAACTCTGAAGGTCACCAGCCAATAAGTGGAAGAGTTGCAATTCAAATCACAGCAGTGTGGCTCTAGCGTCTATATTCTTGCATCTCAACAAGTTGATTTAAATGTCAAAAAGATAATATGAAAAGTGGAAAGCATTTCATTTCCAGTGAAAACTAGAAGCATCACTTAATTTCATGAACCTGGTCTCAGTCCTGGACTCATGCTTTCTCTAAAACTATGATAAGTACTTGTACAACTTTTACCAAAATGACTTTTAGAAATGAGAATAATGAAGGAAGTTCCTGAAAGAGAAAATGGAGACGTTTCTATTGTTTTCCATCTTAATTCAAATGGATGCAATAAAGAAAAATAGGGAACTGCAATGTAAATGGAAGCAGCCCTCCAGGGCAAACAAGCTAAATCATCATTCTACTACTCCATGCTGTAGTCTTATGGTTAAGGTTCTGCACTTTCATTGTGTGGCCTGGGTTTGATTCCCAGAGAACCAGTTCATCAGAGATGTAAATTCTGTAACTCAAAAGGAAATCCTGAGCCCATCGTTCTAGGACTCTGTGCTATTTGATCATGCAGAGCTTTATTTTTTCTTTTGTAAAGTATGATGAAAATACCTGTCTCACAGTGTTGTTGTAGGAACTAATGGATATAATATAAAGCTCTTCGCAAAGTTCCTGGCACGCGGCATAGACAAGCCCTCCATAGATACTCAAATCCTTTACTCATGTTGTAGAAATAAGGGCTTTCCAGTTTTTAAATGTGGGGGAGAATTATTAAGCTTTTTAAAACAATACAGTTGGAGGAAAGCACTCATTCAATCATTTAACAAATATTTATTAAGTACTTACTATGTTCTAGGAACTATTATTTCAAACACAATAGACTAGAATTCCAGAAGATTGAAAAGTCCCATGATACTTGTTTCAATGTTTCTAATTTCCACCACTTTTGATTGTTGTGCCTTTGAAAAACATTAGTTCAACAAGAACAGAATATTCTGTGATTACTTTGTCTATTATTGACTTGGTAGGAAAATCATTTCTGAATAACCACACAGTGGAAAAGGCATATAACACTTGGTCCTAGGGAGCAAGGACAAAGCATTCAGAAACAACAAGCCACATGAAGACCAATACCATTCCATTTCTGTTCATTTCAAGGAATCCTTCCTAGTGATCTATAACAGCTAAGCTCTTTTGCAATGCTCAATGTCTAATTGGATCATTGGTATTAAGACAGTGCCTTTCAGGTTTGTTCTGATTCACTAGAAATCCAATAACCCAATAACATGTATCTTCTTTTAAAAAATTATCCACGTTTGTTACTTGAGTCTCTGATACAAATATGAATGAACTGTCAGCTCATAAGAAGCGTAAAGCAAATAACCTCAGACTTGAACTGTTTCTTCTAGTTTTCTGACTTGCCCATTAGATGGAAGGCAGCTGCTGCCGATATCAGCTACCTGTACGGCACAAAGACACACTCTGATTCTTCTCAGGTTGGCTTTTCACTAACAAAATTGTTTGTTTCATAGACACTGTATCTGTTCAGAGCCTAAAATTAATAGTCCAGCCCTTCTCCTCACTGTCTTTCCACTTCCCTCTTATTTCTCACTGCTGCTGGTCAAGACATGTGGCCCCCTTGATTGCTTTCCAGCAGTCATTCATATCATCACTCCACAAGTAGCTATTGGGCACCTAGTATGTGCTCCATGCTGAGTACCATGGGAGTGTACCACAACTATGCCTCAAACAAAAGCATTTATTCTAGTTGAAATATAGGATTTAGATTAAGCTTCTCCTAACTATTCAAGAGGGTACATAATTAATAACCATTGCACACGTGTCCTGTTTGATTCGTGGTTCTACAGTGCCCTCCTCCAAAGTCCCTAGCAGAGATCTTAAAGAGCACTCCCTTGTGACTCTCAACACTCCTCACTATATCTTCCAAACAGTCCCTCTGCAAAGAAGATGCTGCTTTGCAATACTTCATATTCTATCCGAATTATTTTAATAATATAATCTCTCTGCGTTGCCCCGGGGTTTTCAATGTCTTCATCTGAACTCCAATATGAACCCCTAGAATTTATTCCTGCTGCTAAATCTGTCAGTATTTCCACAGATTCCTTGGAGGGTTATACTTTGACTATACAATTTCCCTTCAGGATAAGAAGATCTTAACAGGAAGACACCACAGACACATGCACACACACACACACAAATAAATGATCTTTGGTTGTTGATTTGAAGAAGAGAAAATTTGAAATCACAAAATCTAAGACTTTTTAGGCAGAAAGGGTCCCATGAAATTATCTAGAATTTTATCAGTCCTAAAGAAGAGGGTCTAAGGCTCAAAGGGAATGGGTCTTGTCCCAGTTTATAAATTTCTAGGATGTTTAAGTAAGTATACTTTTCTTCTTGTATTTACTCTATGAATATATTTCATTTTCTAAAGAATTTTTCACTATAGTTAACATAGACTTACAAAATTAAAACAATTCAGATATAGTTTTCATCAACCTACTTTTTCTTCTCTGTTTCATAACTATTTTACTGCTGCTTCACTCCAAAAATGGAACTTTTGTTTCCTGACACCACTTCTGAATTCAAACAAATTCAGTTAACCCAATATTTAATGAATAATTATACTAAGCCCTAAAAATTATCATTCTATAGATTTAAACTCTAGAGGTCTAAAATATTTTTGCAAATAAAAGAGCTGGCCAATTTGCAAGTGAATGTGAAGACTCAAGTAGTCATTGCGATTGGTATAGTGTATACCTTTACCTACTGTCTGGTGTGGGATCTTATAAAAATTAGTGCATTAAGAATGATTTTGAAGAAAAAATTAGAAATAGAACTATCATAGAACAGTCATCCCACTTCTAGATGTAAATATCAAAAGGAAATGAAATAAGTATCATGAAAAGATATCTGCACTCTCATGTTCATTACAGAATTACTCACAATGTATTTATGATCATGAGTGGAAGAGTTGTGGTGATTTTTTTAATTATAATAATCTAAATAAATTACATAAAACTCCATTTGTCCTGATCTTTTCTCTAGTTTCCCTGATATTGTCTCCAGATTTCACCCATGAATATAATAGGAAATACAAAACAGATAATAGAATATTCTAATTTAAAATCCTTTTGCAAATATGACAACTCTCCAAAACTGCTAAAGCCAACTTTTCTGTAATATGCAAACTCTACAGCTGAAACCACATCTATATTACAAGAAACTGGATTCTTTCACCAGCTTAAAAATACTATTTTGTGACACAACACGGTGGCTCACACCTGTAATCCCAGTACTTTGGGAGGCCAAGATGGGTGGATCACTTGAAGTTAGAAGTCCAAGACCAGCCTGGCCAATAGGGTGAAGCCTTATCTCCAGTAAAAATACAAAAATTAGCGGGGTGTGGTGGCATGTGCCTATAATCCCAGCTACTCAGGAGGCTGACGCAGGAGAATTGATTGAACCTGGGAGGCAGAGGCTGCAGTGAGCCAAGATCGCACGACTGCACTCCAGCCTGGGTGACACAGCAAGACTCAGTCTCAAAAAGAATTTTTATTTTGTGAATAAAGCTTTTTTTTTCTTTAGTATATAAAGGCAATTTGGACCAAAGTGCAAGTATGGAGCATGTCATTATTTTTATTACTAGGTTGTTACCATATATTTTAAACCTCTAAAAACTATATAACCAACATATAAAATATTATACAGAGA